ATACTCTTCCGCTAAAAATATAACTACCGCTGGCTTTCGTAGCTTACCCATTAAGACCTAGAATGAACTGGCTTAGTGACATACTGGCTTAGTGACATACTCTTCCGCTAGAAATATAACTACCGCTGGCTTTCGTAGCACACCCATTAAGACCTAGAATGAACTGGCTTTGTGACATACCAAAGATGGACCGGAAGAAAAACCCACGGAATGTATTAGGTTGGATGAAGATCGGGCCAGGTGGCACAGGGAGGCGAACGCAGCCAAGTGCCCCCAGCGGTCATGTGACTATGGGAATAACTTGAGCTCACCCATCTTCCCCGCTGATTTGGTATCAATGGCTCCGCTGTGGCCTGTCGTCCCTAAACCCTAAATTAGCCAAGGGCCCGTTCGGTTTTATGACGTCGCATTAATCCAAATGATATGTAATTGCAATGAGAAGATTGCAAAATAATATATCAAAAATAGATTATAATATGGTTAAATCTTAATAAATGAAATGATACTTAATCATAATTACATGATTGTATTATCACATAAAAAATAATAATGTTAAGAAGAATATATAATTTAAAAAAAATTGAATGTAGCAGTTTGTTAGAGAGAAAAAAATAAAGACCAAAACTTCAGCCATGAGACAAACAAACAAGCAAATGAAGAAGAGAAAATTGAAGGACAGGCGAGAGCAAGCATTCGGGGAAGAATACGAGAAAGAAAGTAATGAAAAGTTATTGAAAAAAGAAGGAGAAAGATTGAGTTCATGGGGGGGAGGGAGGGAAGGAGGGGGAGGGGGAGGGGGATGGATAAGGGTGAGAGGGAGGGATGAAGGAAAGAAGGAAAGACGGGGAAAGAGAGAGAAGGATAGTGGTGACAGGGATGGAAGGAGAGAGAGAAGGATGGATGGGGAAGAATGGAAAGGATGGAGGAGAAAAAGAAGGAGAGAGAAGGATGAGTGGGAGGGATGAGCGAAGAAGGGGAGAGACAGAGACAGAGAGAAGGATAGGGGGTGAAAGGGACAAACGGTAGGAAGAGGGATGGAAAGAGGGGAGAAGAAAGACAAATGGAAGAGAAAAGAGAAAAGATGGAAGAGAGAAGGAAAAGATGGGAGAGAAAAGAAAAGAAAGAAAAAATAAAAGAGAGAAGGGAAAAATAAGTGAGAAAAGATAAAAGACGGGAGAGAGAAAGTCGAATGGAAGATAAAGGGAAAAGATGCGAGAGAAAGAAGGATATGGAAAGATATAAGATAGGAGAGAAGGATAAAGCTGTGGACGTAAGACGAGATAGTAAAGGAAGGGAATGGAGGAAAAAGGAGTGAAGTAAACAAGTTAATGGAAGGAGGGGAAGAGGAGAAGGGGGTGGGGGGATAATGGAGTCGTGGGGGGGAGGGGGAGGTAGCAGAGTGTATAGTAGAGATAATGGAAGATAAATGGCAGGGAAAGAGAATGGGATGCGGGGATGATAATGGGTTTACGAAGAGGAAGTGGAGGAAAGGAAGACAAAAAGGGAAAAGGAGGAGAGTGAGGAAGAGGGAAGGAGTGTTATGAGGTGGAAGAGAAAAATGAGGGAAGAGAAGGAGGAAGGAGAAGAATCATGAGGCGAAGGAAGGGAGGACAGAATGAGGAGAAGAAACAAATAAGGAGAATGAGGAAAGAGAAAAACAATAAGCCGAAAGAAGGGAGGACAGAAAGAGAAGAAAGAGTATGATGAAGCGAATGAGAAGAATAAGAAGGAGGGAGAATAAAGAGGAGAAAAGGACACGATATGGAGAAGTCACGAGGAGAAGACGAGACGAGTCAGAGACGATGAAGTGAGGAAGAGGAAACATGAGGACGGAGAGGTTATGAGGGAGAGATGCATTAGAGATGATCGAGTGGTTGACAGGGAATCAAAAGCTTGGGGGGGGGGGAGAGAAAGAGGGAGGAAGGGAGAGAGAGAGAGGGGTGGAGGGAGGGAGGGAGGGGAGTGGGAGTGAGAGAGAGAGAGAAAGGGAGAAAGAAACAAACAGACAGAAAGAAGGTAAGAGGGAGATAGAGAAAAGAGAAAGAGAGACAGAGAGAGAGAGAGAGAGAGAGAGAGAGGGAGAGAGGGAGAAAGAGAGAGAGTGTGTGTTAACAAACGTAATTAGGCAACGAGAGTGAATAATCAAATAAACACTTTATCCCCTTGTGTAGCTCTTCGCCATTACTCCTAAAAATCTCTTCACACACACACGCACACACACACACACACACACACACACGCACACACACACACACACACACACACACACACACACACACACACACACACACACGCACACACACACACACACACACACACACATATATATATATATATATATATATATATATATATATATATATATATATATATATAAATATATTTATATAGATGTGTATGCATATACATATAGATATGTATATATACACATATGTATATATATATATATATATATATATATATATATATATATATATATATATATATATATGTACATATATATATATATACATATATATGTATATATATTTATATATGTACATGTGTATATTTATTTATATACATATATATATATATATATATATATATATATATATATATATATATATATATATATATATATATATATATACACACATATATATACACACACACATACCTGAACCTGCACATGCGCCCTTCGTGCCTGCTTGGGGTCGGGGCGAGAGGCGGCGCCGCCCGTCCTGCCGATCTATTCCTTCCGAGTTACGCAAGTGCCACGTGATCTCTTGCTTAGTAAATTGCTCGGGGAACTTGGTGCCTTGTTGTCCGTCTGTAATTACGGACTCTGATCGGTCGGAGATGAGGTTAGGATGCTGCTAAGGAAGGGGTTTTTAGTCTCTTTTATTTTGTCGGTTTTCCTGTTCATTTTATAGGAGTAGTTTTCTTTTTCCTCGTCTTCTTCTTTTATTTTATTTTATTTTATTTCATTTTTCTCTTTCTATTCTTCAGTGTGTGTTTTTTTTTTTAGATTTTTTTTTCTTCTGCTTCTCTCTATCTGTTTTTTTCCTTTATTATTTTGTTGTCTTAACTTATCTTTCTCATTTTGATTAATTGTCTCCATTATTTCTTCTTTAATCTTCTTTGCCCTATTTTCTTGATTTATTTTTCCTGTTTATCATTCAACTTCACCCTCACCTTCTTTTCATTTCTATCATGCAAAATTAAGTTTATTTCGTCATCTTGTTCGCTCAGATCGCTCAAAACTGAATCCTGTTTCATTTGCAATAATTCGTACATATTTCGACTGCATTGATATTGATTGCATTGTTATTGATGCTTTACAACACATTTTCTTATTGTGATTCCTCTTATGAAACTCTAATATTCCGCCAAACATTTTTTTTTGTGTGTGTGATTGATCAGTTTACGGCAGCCATAAAGTCATAAACCATAATCTGGCAATACTTGATGTGATGTTTTGCCGTCACGAGGGGCAGGGATATTTTCATCAGTGTTTTGTGCGTGTATATATATATATATATATATATATATATATATATATATATATATATATATATATATATATATATATATATATATATATATATATATTTTTTTTTTTTTTTTTTTTTTTTTTTTTATTATGATCGCTATCACTATTATGATTATTATTATTTACATTATTATGATCGCTATCACTATTATGATTATTATTATTTACATTATTATTATCATTATTATTATAATTACTATTAGTAGTACTATCATAATCATTATTGTTTTTGTTGTTGTTGCTTTCTTTCTTTTTATCGTCGTTATCATTATTATCATTATCATTATCTTCATTGTTATGATCATTATCATCATTATCATCATTGTTATGATCATTTTCATCATTATCATTATTTTTATTATTGTTATCACTATTATCTTTAATATCATCATTATATTTATCATCACTAATTATGCTTATCAATATCATTATCACCATTATTCTTAGCATTATTGCTATTGATGTTATTAAAAATATTGTTATTATCATTATTGTTCTTATAATTATTCTGATTATCATAATTATTATCATTATAATTATTATTATCGTTATCATCATTATTACTATCATTGACATTATTATTCATATCATTATCATTGTAATTATCATTATCATAATTATCACTATCATTGTAATTATCATTATTATAATTATCATTATTTCATTGTTATTATGATTATGACTGATATTTTTATAATTGCTGTTATCATCATTGTTGTTATCATTATCATCATTATCATCATTGTTATGATCATTATCATCATTGTTATGATCATTATCATCATTATCATCATTATCATCATTATCATCATTGTTATGATCATTATCATCATTATCATCATTATCATCATTGTTATGATCATTATCATCATTGTTATGATCATTATCATCATTGTTATGATCATTATCATCATTATCATCATTATCATCATTATCATCATTATCATCATTGTTATGATCATTATCATCATTATCATCATTGTTATGATCATTATCATCATTATCATCATTGTTATGATCATTATCATCATTATCATCATTGTTATGATCATTATCATCATTGTTATGATCATTATCATCATTATCATCATTATCATCATTGTTATGATCATTATCATCATTGTTATGATCATTATCATCATTGTTATGATCATTATCATCATTATCATCATTGTTATGATCATTATCATCATTATCATCATTATCATCATTATCATCATTATCATCATTGTTATGATCATTATCATCATTGTTATGATCATTATCATCATTGTTATGATCATTATCATCATTGTTATGATCATTATCATCATTGTTATGATCATTATCATCATTATCATCATTATCATCATTGTTATGATCATTATCATCATTGTTATGATCATTATCATCATTATCATCATTGTTATGATCATTATCATCATTATCATCATTATCATCATTATCATCATTGTTATGATCATTA